TGTGTGTGTGTGTGTGTGTGTGTGTGTGTGTGTGTGTGTGTGTGTGTGTGTGTGTGTGTGTGACATTAAAGAGTCCTGAATTTGTTCAGGGTTAAGATATTTCTGCGCATGTGTGCCCCGTGTCTGTCCTCTCTGCTGAAGGGTTGTTTGGGGTTTTCTGTGCAGGTTTCGTCTGGAGTGTGTGTGTGTGTGTGTGTGTGTGTGTGTGTGTGTGTGTGTCAGCATTTAAACAAACTGCAGTAAACAAAATGGCTCCTAAAAATAAAAAATCTGCAATCTTGTCGCAGTTTTTTTTCTGCCATTTTTGGGTGACTGAATGTTACAAAACTAAATGTTATGTAGTTTTTCATTTAAAGCACAATAAGCATTAGAGGCTGAAACATTTGACTTCTGTTAAAGGTTAATGTATGGATTCTGTTTTGTCATGCTTTCTGTGCCTTGCATTGAGGAGGGTTTGGATGTCACTCTGCAGCCGTTCGGAGGCACTGACAGCAGCAGATCAGATACTGGTGAGTCAGACTTCATGGTGCAGACAACAGCAGCAGCTCCCTCTATGACCACGTAATATCCTCTCTTATCCTTTTACTCTGCTGCAGCACTGTGCACCGAGTTTAAAAAAAAAAATCAGATATCCACGTCGTAAAAACCGTGGCCTGTTCGCATCAGAGGGAGTCTGATCGTGTGTGCTGTTCACAGAGACATCCACCGCTCGTTATTTAGCTCTCGTTTGAGCCTGGAGCTGCACTCCAAAAAGGCAGAGGAAACGAAGATAAAAACATGCAGAGAGCCACAAAATAGAAAGCAGGCACWTAAAACTGAGGTGCCACAGATCAGGTATAATCTGAGTGAATTAAGAATCGGCAAAAATGTTAGGGTTACACGATATAAGCGCCTCAGGATGATGCATGGGGGACTCTTACGCCTGCTTTTTTATATTTTGTGTTGTTTCAATGAGAATAAATTTCAAACAAAGATGAAAAAAAATCGATAAAATAATCTAACAGGAGCTTTCACAAATCTGTGGTTAAGCATTTGTTAGAAAAGATTTATGCACCTGTTAAAAAGCCTGTTTTGGCACAAAATTAGTTTCCTGAAGGTGATTTTTGCATCTGTCTCTAAGAAATGCTCAAATTTAGCTGGTGTTTGCGAAGCTTTTCAGAAGGCAATTCTGTGCCAATTACGCCGTTAAATTTAAAGTCTTACATGGGCGTAAGTTGCTGCCAGAGGAGACACAGGTGCTGCACGTTGAGAGGAGAGAGTGTGAAGGAGGACATCCTCCATTAGTGTTAATTTATTTGGAATGGCAAAAGAAGACATCATCAACATGGCTGCCAAGACGCATTACTCTTAATCGAGTGGAGGAAATGGTCTACTGCGTTTCTCTTTTGTTTTGCATCTKAGGAGACTGACCTTAATTGTCTCATCTCTGTATTTTTTGTTAAAAAGTATGGAGAGCCGACACAATGTTGGTTCATCTCAAGTTTAGGAGCCATTTTATGCCTGAATTATTTAAAAGTTGAAGTGAAAAGCCTTTATCTGCATGGATGCTGCAGCAGTAGATTCATTTCATAATATTCTAAAAACATGAACTTGTAAACATGAAAAAGAAAGAAATGTGTGTTTGGCAGATTATTTCTTTGTTGTAACAATGCTTTTTGGTAAAAAATCTTAAACCGTTGAAAAGCCTGTTAATTTCCCTTTTAAATGGTGCCACGTTTGTAAGGAACATGCWTTTATGGGATGAGCTGTAGAGCTGAGTATGTGGGTTGCACACATGAAAATTTACCAAATCTTCTCTGTCAAACAGTTTATTTTGTTGTTATTGACACTTGTTTGGATCATGTGGTGCCTCCAGGTGCTGCCAATCAGGTGCTGCTACAAGATTTATTGCCAAGAAATATTGTTAAAACAAAATAATAATCAAAAAAACAAAAATTTTCTTAATTTCTGTGCTAAATACATTTTTATTATCACTGCTACTTAGTTATTGTTGGGCTTTGATGAAACAAATCAATAGAATTATTGTGATTTTTCAAATAGTTGAAGCAGAGTTTTTCTCGGCGCTCAGTCTTTAGGAGAGGTTACACTCACCGGTCCAGTCTCAGGGAGCGGCTCCATAAGCTCCACCCCCTCAGCGTAGACCTGAACGAGAGCCAGCAGGTCCCGGGACTGGACCGCCTCGAACAGCTCGATCATCTTAGCAGCGGCCGACGTGCAGGTCTTCTTCGCATACTTGTGGTCCACGTACTTAGCGTTGATGAACTCTTTCCTCACCGTCCTGTGGGAGAAAAAAAAACTCTCTTAAAGCATGTTTCCAGAGAGGTCAGATGTTTGCTGTGAAGCCGCAGCGTTCTTACATATCACTCGAGGGGGTGGGCTTTGGTGAAGGAGAGGGAAGGTTCGCCTCCATGATTTCATTAAAACTACTGTTCCCTACATTCTTGGCCAGCTGGGGGAGAAACACAAACACAAAAACACAGGTATTAGATATTATTATTGACAAGAAGAAACACGGAGGTTCTGATAAATTCTGTCTGGTTTGCTTTAAATTCTGTTTCATTCCACTCATGAATCATTATTCGTCCCTGGGTGTTTCTTTTTAATCTGAACATGTTTAAACAAAAAAACAGCAATCCTTAAATGAACGCACACTGGGGTGTTGGTTGACTACCAGCTACTCTCATAACCAATTTTAGCTCATTATCTGTAAAAATGACCACTTTTGGTAAATGTACAAAGTATTTTACTGGCATTTTATGTTTGTATTGTGTTAAAAATGTATTTATTTATAGATTTTTTTTGTTTTTTGTCTGCAAAATATGTTCTTGTGACAACGCGGAATCCAAGATTTTTGACAAAAAGACAACATACTGTATTGTAATGCTGTATCGTATCGTACTGTTTTCTAAAAGCTGCAAATACTTTACAAAAATTGGAGATATTGTAGAGTAAATTGTGTCTTGGAGAGGCAGTTTTTTTTTAATTTATCTGACAGACAGTTTATTAAAACTCACCAAGAGTTCTGAGGTTCCTAACTTGTCAAGCTCCATGGACTGGATGCGAGAAATGTGGACCCCCATTTCTCGATGGATGCCGGAGCATTCGATGCAGGTGAGAATCCCCAYGTTGGTGGACAACCACTTAGGCTCTGCAAAGAATAAAAAACATCCAGTTTGTTATTCATTCAGCAGCCTGAACTTTAATTTACTATAAAACAATTACAGCAGCATCTGGATTTAAGTTTAGAGTTTTTAGCTGGTGAAATACGTATTTTACTGCACAACATTAATTAAATATTAATAAAAAAAACAAGTCTATATGAAGTGATTGAATGCCTCAACTCAGTTTCTGTTGTTCTTAAATCTATCAGGTTTAAGTCTAAAGTCTGTGACGTTGGCGGTGCAGCAGGTAGAGGTCGGTGGAAACAATGAAAAAATTCTAAAAACAAACAAGTAAAACACCGAAAGCAGGAAAACACTAATTCAAACACAAACGACCAGATGCTAGGTGGTGACGGGTCACACAGAACATGTTGAACACGACGAGTGAATTAGTGCGGCGTGACCCCTACGGCTGCAAATCATACAAACGGAGTTCTTCGGTGAATATCAAACGAGACAACGACCTCTTTCTTCTCAGACCAGCAAGAACAAGGATGTAACCTTTGAAAGTGATGCTGTTTTTACGTGTTCAGAACAAGAAACATGGAGCCCAGTAGAACCAAACAGAAAAACATTCAGTTAGAAATGATTGAGGGGGAAAAAAACACATTAATTAAAAAAAAACGTTCATATAAGAATACGTTTTCTCAAATACAACCTTGAATATTGAGGGATGCAGCAACGGGATCACAGAAGTGACAAACTACCACTCCTCCCTGCAGACTGCAGGGGGATCGACGGAGCGTGTGCGGCTTATGTAACAACYTGACGTAATGTTGTTGTTTCTCAGGCCTAGAAATGTATTTTCTCCCCCTTTAGWGAATAAAATCCTCCCGTCGGTCAGCWGCTGTGGGTTTTTGTAGTGAGAGTGTGTATTTGTGTACATGTACGTGTGTGTTAACTGTCAATGACTATGGCCCTCCTGAGTGCTGACTCTGCTTCGGAACACAGGGGGAGGAGCAGGACTGAGTTGAGCCTTGAATGCTAACAGCTTTTGCGCGCGCACACTCACACACACTGGTTTTTTTGAAGGCTGCGGGGGGATTTGCAGTGCAGCTTGTGCAGACACTAAGCAGGGAGTTCAAGAGAGCTGTGACACAGCAAAACTGTACTGTGGCTTTAAAAAAGTTTGTTTTTCCCAAGTAAAATCAAACAACAAAAACCCAAGGTGAAAGAGGCTGTTCTCCCCAGAGACAGCAGCAGCAGCAGCAGCACACACCTGGAGCGCCGCAGTCGCAGCAGACTTCATTGCCCGGCATGTGCAGCACGTCTTCTATGATGGCTTTAGTCAAGTCCTCTAACCCGTCCTCCCCTCCGCTGCTCGGCTCGCCACGGAACGCCATGTTTAAGGCCTCCTCCTTGCTGTTGGTCAGTACCGAGATCCATCTGCAAGACAGGACCAAATCTGCATCAAACCAAGTTTTAAAATCACACTTATTAAAAATAATTTGTGTAAAAAATGATGTACACTTCGTAAAAAGACAAAGGCCAGGATGATAGTTCCTTGAATCTGTAAGGACATTGTGAAACTCATAACTTCATCCAAAATAAATTAAGTGACAAATGTACTACAGTAGATAAATAAAGTTCTCATTTGTTTGTTCTGTTTTCTTGTGAATGGGTGTTCTGAACTGTAATTTAATTGTACTTTGTACAATGACAATAAAGGTTTATCTTATCTTATCTCTTATCTAAAAATGAAGAAAAAAACAGAAAAAGAGTAAAATTATTTTAAAGGTCAAATGAAGTGGAAAATGTTTTTTTTTTTTGCATATTTTGCATTCATATAGGGCTTTTTTTAAAACTGATTTAAATTTACAATATTTTACAACAATATTTAGAAATTTGATGGATATTCATACTGTAATTTAACATATACCATCAAATACAGTTATTTGCTAAACTAGCCTTCATTTGACTTTTAACCGTATTCCATATTCACCAAGTTTCAACTCTTAATAAAAACCTGGAAGRGACATCTTCAGTCTATTGGTGCCTCTCAGATATGTTTGACTGATGCACCAAATACCGACGTACCGACACCCACGTAGGACTGTGGTCAATCACACAGGCAGGAAACACTATAGRTGTCTTTGAAGTGTGGRCTCCAGCAGTMAGCATGAACTACTCACTGCACCAASCTCCTCGTATACATATYCATATACACGTGCACACACACACATACACAGTGATGCAACAGAAAAAACTCATAGATGGCCTACGCACTACAAGAGGTGATAGGCATAGACAGACACACAAAGTGTTGCATTAGACTAACACTAGGACTTCATCTGTCACTGTCAGCGAACCTKCTCTGGAAAGCTACAAAGCAGCCACAGAGTGAACTCACAGAGAGCTGTTCTYTTATCATCTGTGTAGTTATAATCCACTGATGAGAAGGTGAATAGACACTCAGCCAGATTGTTTGTTTACCTAAAATGTGGAACGCTTTGCTTCCTTTGATGTGGAGCACAATACCTGTTCTGAAAAGGAGTTCTGTGGAATCCTGAGATGTTGCCGCAGCTACATTTGAAATGACATGACAGCCAACAGCAGACAAATGTGGACCTCAGACGACTTTATGTATGRCAACACGAGGCGTACAAACAGCACAGTTTAAAGCAGCACCGCCGCTTCATGACAGGAACAGAATTTCCATCACAAGYCGACAGTTCAGAACAAAAATGTCACTAATCGAGATGTGTTTTCAGGGTTTCTGTTTTGTCAGGTAATAAAATATGTAAAGACTTTAACTACACAACTTTATGCCACTTCATTATTATTTTTTACACAAAATAAATATGACTTGGGGGAAAAAAAAAGCCGATTGTCTAAATAAAAAAGCAAAAACTGATAAAATTATCCAGGGTTTCCTGTTTTCACACCGTGTTTCTGTAAACATGCACAAACTGTGTTCTCATGGGAAACAACAGAAGAAAGGTTAAGGCAACCTGAGTCGCTCCAAACCACACATCTTTTTGTTGACATCACAGTGGAATGATCTCAACAGCCACTTCAGCTTCACAGCAGCCACTAACCAAGACATCATTAAAATAAATTTAAAAACAAACAATAAAGCAGATGATCTAACGATCTGACTATTATAAATGGTAAAAATGTTTCTAAGAAACTAGCATTTATTGAAGAAATGAATACCTCTCTCTGCCTGCACAGTAAAGTTTAAACAGGGATTGTATGTCATCTGTTAAGAGCACAAAGTATATGTTGGAGAAAATTATTATCAAGCTAAATTTTAGCTCTGAGTTGGAGCTATTTTTGGGCTTCGCTAAGCTGGATTAGCTGTGGCAGCCATCTTGAATCGTGTTGACTATAGATCTTGATCTAATGATTACTTTCTTAGAGCTTCCTTAAAAAAATCATGGTGGTGGGTGATAAAAAGCAGAATGAGATTGTGTTTTGTCGTCGTTTTTCCTTTGAACTACTCACGCAACAAACTCTTGTTCGTCTTCAGCTTGGAAGTGATATGTCCGGTTATCTGTGGGAAACAGAGAGTGTTAAACATGCAAATCCCGGATTTTGCATTTTAGAATTTAACACTCAGGTTAAAAATAATCAAGCAGGTCTTTAGGACAAAACAGTCGGTCATCAACAGTGCATGTGCTCTATCACACTAACCTGTGTGTAACTGAACTGGTCAGTTTGTGTAAACTTACGAGAAATAAGATCAAAGCACTTTCTGTCCTCGGCACTCGGCTTCACCTGGCAGGTGAGCAGGTTGAGTTTCACCGGCTGCCGATTAGACTGAAAATACAAACAAAGAGACATTTACAATGACTTCAAAACACATCAATATACCAGGGGCAGAGCTAGACTTTTTTGCGAGGGGTGGCCAAGGTGTCTTCTAGGGGGGGCACATATAAATAAAGAAAACTACACTGGATTTGAACATTTTTAAATTAAATGGTTATAACTCAGCCATTTTAAGACTAACTGAGCTGAAATTTGTTGTACTGCAGCATAAAAATTTTATGAATGTTAGTCCCAATTAAAGCTAACAGAATTGCTTTCATATTAATTTAGTGGTTTAGAAAAGTATTTTTTTTCTTCACACACTGATAGGTTCCCTGTACTCTAGAGCAGTGGTTCCCAAACTTTTTATCTTCTGACCCACAAAATATCCATGGCAAAAACTTGTGACCCCAAATA